AACTAATGAACCATTAATCGCATCAATTTCGAGACCCAGCGGTTATCGCAAAAACTGTTAATTTTAAGTGGCATGTGCTCCCGTGCCAGCTGCGTACTATAGATACTGCAGTTATTGTGCCTCAACAACTTTTATCTGCAACGATCTATGATGATGCGTTCGAGTGAGAATCCAAAAGGTCAGGCAAACAAACCCCTTTTTCCAGTGATCGCATCTTCTTCTTCTTCTTCTTCTGAACTGCTTCCTAGAACTCGCTTGTTCGCATTTATCGTCAGATATCTGCACATTAATCTCTCATCCGAATTCGAGGTATGTAAAACTGAACTTAGCTGTTTCTACCTAACATATTATGAAAGCATTTCGTGCCTGATCTCAGGAATTAGTCAGTAAACAGCATGTGCAGGCGAAAGACTCAACTTGTGGCTGGTTTCGTGCGCCTATCCCACAGAAGTACGTGCCGTTTGTCTTAACTTGTTTAGACAATTTTGTTCGACGTAATATGCTGTCTCAAGGAGACATCAACAGAGGTTACGCAAGCAATCACGCGGTTTTTTGACTTTATGAGTGTATTAGCCTCTAAAAATATGGTCGTGTATCTTACGTGTTAGTGAGAAGTAAGTTTTACCAGCGGTGGTTAGTGAGCTCACATGCGGGAAACTTTTGAACTTGTGAACTGTCTGCTCTCACAATACGAAATTATGGCTAACTAAAGTGTTGAGGACTTTCGTCTTTTTGCTGTGAGAGAATATGGTTTAGGCCTCAGGTTTTCTATCGAATTTGACTATTAATTAGAACGAATTCGATAGAAAGTGTACTGTAATCGAAGTTGATTACTGCGAAGCGATGCATTTGTGTCATTCTGGGTTTGTCATGTATAGGCGTCTGCGAAATCTACCAAATCATATTTTGAACGTTTCAGCAAACACATTGGTCATCCATCGTAGCCGGAATAAATACGAAATAAATGTGGAGCGCCGCAGTGTCTGGCCGTACGGAATGATTATGCGAACAATCCTTATCCCATAGTATTCGTTATGATAAACGCTATTCAGACGTTCTGCAGCATTTTGCGCCTAATTGCCTGAAATTGAGGAAGCTGTGTTTTATGAACCGTAAGTGGAAACATCTACAGGCCTGTCAGTTGCAATTAGTGAGCATTCGAAGAGATAATTTTATTATACAAAATTTTCATACAGCATACAAGGGGGCACCAACCTAGGCTACGCGCACGATCACTCGGTTTTTTGCCCTCGTAAGCGTGTCGGTCTCTAAAACCATCGGCGTGTATTTTTTCCTGTTGTTGAGCGGTAAGTTGTACTTGCAGTGGTTAGTGAGTGCCCGTGCGTGATAACTCTGAACTTCTGAACTGTCTACCCGCTCGCAGTAAGAATTAACGGCTGACTGAAGTGTTGACGGCTTTTGCCTCCATGTTGTGAGAGGATGTGGTTTTGGTCTCAGAGTCCGTGCCCAATTTAAGCTTTTATCTAAAGTAATGTGAGGGTAATCATGTTGTGATCAAAGCTGTTAACTGAAAAACGATGCAACTGTGTAATTTTTCAACTTGTTACACATCAGCTCTGTGTAGACCCCCTAAAAATATTCAAAATGTTTCAGCAAACGATTTAATCATCTGCCGTAACCACGAAATAGCAAGCGTTTAAGAGTTTATGTGCATGGAATATTCATCTGAGCAACTCTTATTCCAGTCTCTGGAATTCAGTCTCTTCAAACGTCAATATCGTTCCACAAATGTTACTGGGGGCGTTGAAATGTCAGAAGACAGGACGCGCAATGCAAAATAATTTTAATCCAACTAGTTTGGAGAAAAGAAAACAACTACTCCATAAAGGATATAATTGGCAGAAAAATGACCACTTGAGAGGGAAAAACCCGAAAAACGGGCCATAAATTTGCATGTTCGTCTAGGGCGAGTCACGAATTATAACACAAGAATTATCACGAATGAAAATGTTAATGCAGACTCAAGCAACCTGCCATATTCAAGATCGAAGATGTGGTAGGAACGTTCAAGTTGAATGTAATAGAAAAAATTGAGTATTCGATTAAAAAGAGTATCGGTATGACAGTAGGATAAGAGACTCAGAGATAGGAACCCCATTAAATAGTTCAACTGGCAAATTGCAAGCAGGACATGAAATGTGTGATATTATGCTGTTGACCGCGAAGATGTCGGAAGCGGAAAGAGGCAAAACACAAGTTTTCCACCACCGGGACGGTCAACGACGGAGTCTTCGGTATATTTAACATGTACACAGTACTTTGGTAATCTCAGGTCGTTAGCATAAAGCGATCGGAGGTGGAGAGGTTAAATTGAACCACAAGGAACTCCACACTTATTAGGAAGAAGAGCAGACTTCCGGCTATCAAAATGGACAAGTTGGGTACGAGCACAAAACAGTCTAAAGGCCTTGAAATAATTCAATCAGCCGGAGATCTATATCATGCATTTTATTAAAACGTGAAAGACATTTATGCCGGAATAGCGCCTGATATTGACAGCCTGTTTCTAATTTACGCTTAACTGAAATTCGCTGACCGCAAAAGCAGTCTGAGAGCCTTGAAATAATTCAATCAGGAAAATCGCACCCTGACGACGAGTGAACAAGACGGAATGGGAGGCATAAGGGCTTTTCAAGACGACCACATGCGCACGCAGGTCAACGCCTGTCCAGCTCGTTCAGGACACGGTGAAGTAGATAAGCAGCGGTGATCAGCTTATCGATATTGAAGGGGGTTTATGAACGTAGGTAATAAGGGCACATTAGTGTCTAGGGCAGGTCGTCCATGAAGCGTAAGGAGTACGAATGGACGCGCAAATGGCCTAAACTACTGAGTGTCATAATTATCATACTTTTAGCGATGGGAGTGATTCCTACTGTACGCCAAGAATCAGGCCACATCGGCTCTATACAATGCTCGCCAAAAAGATATGACAGGACAGGTGTGATCTGAGAGGAAAATGACTTAGGGCAAAGCAGTGGGACAGCATCCAGCCCGGAAACTGTTAAATCACAGACAAGCAAAGATGTGAATCTCAGGAACTAGTTGATAAGGAGTAGAAGAAATCGCTGGAACAACTGCTATACCACAGTTTTCGTTAACATAGGACAGAAAGAAGTAATAGCACAAATTAAACATTTAGGTTACTGCTGCATACATTTTGGTAGCAAACATAATCTTAATTATGTGAACCTAACTAGACGTCCATAGGCGCCAGGGAGTTTCTTTGATCAGTGCGACACTTATGATTCCTCCGGATATCAGAAGAGGAAAGAGAAAAAAGGAAGGTCTGCAACGTTTCCCTCCGAACTAGGCCAATGATCCTCATTTTAGATGTGGGAAGCTTAAGATAATTAATTAAAATGTAATAAATAGGGAACGTTATGATGTCTATTAAAGGAAAACGTCCACTGAAATCTAAAAGGATAAATGGGGCGTTGGTACACTTGCCAAATACGAAAATAGGATGAGCATTAACATGTAAATCTTTTGCAATTCCGGAATAATATTGAACACCAACTTGCACTCAGGGTCTCCAGACTACATGCTGTATATTTTCCGCGTACGGAAAACTATACATATCTTCATGGCATTACAAGGAGACTACATGGGGTGGATAAAATGTAGCAATGGATTTGAGCCATACAGTGAAATTTACAAGCCACACTGACAAATGTAGAGACAGGACGTTTTATGAAGGGTCATTTGATGGCCATCTCACAATTATAAACTTTTATAAAACCGAGTTATACCCTTGTTTTGACTAAGAAATTTGAAGGAGACGTAATTTGCCAACAAACGAGCAAAATAATTAAGAGTTTTATGCATGTTTCCCATGAAATATAATTGGAGTTTTAGAGGCATTGAAAATCAATAAGAAAAAATATATTCTACAAAGAGTAAATGGGCCAACTCATGAGGTATCAGCAGAAATTCCAAATTGCGTTGACGTTTTAAAAAGAAAAATTAAGTAGTGTTGTGAAATCAATCTTCCTGCAGCATAATTCTTTAATAATTCAGTTACCACGGGGTGTCAGCTTTTGATCAAACGTCTTTTCGGCTGCATCCAAAAACTTCCATTAAACGACTAAAGGAAAGCATATATTATCTTCGTAGTTTCCATAAACTATATGTGAATTTGCAAGGCCATCGACAATTATTGAAAAAAATGCATGCTAAGTAAGTAGTCATTTCTAACCGAGTACAGTTTTTACAGGAGATCAAAAAGCAGTAAATTCAAAAGCTGACATCCTTAAAAGTCTGAAATACTATACAATTATGCCGCAAGATATTTATTATTACAACCGCGTTTAAGGTATCTTTCCTAATCGAGAACGCATTTAAAAATTTCAGTCAACATTTTATGAG